TGATAAGGTGATGATATGATTCTTTTGATTTTTAGGTTTTCAAGGAATTTTATGGCCTTTGCGCCTATAAATTATGGCATGTTGTCGCAGGCTATTTATTTTGGTATCCCGAACCTGCAAATTATATTCTCCCACATAAAATCTACCATTTTGCGCTCGCCATTTTTGTGTGTAAGGACCAGCTTCAACCCACTTAGAAAAGTAGTAAGTTAAAATTAGGAAAAATCTTACCTTACCGGGGGCGGCGGCAGCGGACCGACTACGTCCATTCCCCACTTCTTGAATGACCAAGGTGATAGAACCGAGTGCAATGACTCTGCCAGTTGGTGTACCAATGGTGCATGGCGTTGACACTTATCGCATTTATGAACATAATCCTTAGCGTCATGTTCCATCTAGGGCCAGTAGTATCCTACCCTAATCAACTTTAATACCTATGAGTCCGCACCCGAGTGATTTCCACAGATCTCTTCATGAACTTCTCTCATGATGTAATTAGCTTCCGAGGCTCTTAAGCATCAGGCCAACGGGCCTTGAAAAGATTTTCTAAACAGTTGACCTCCCCTAAAGCAGTATCGAGCTGCTTTTGTGCGCAGCGCCCGTGATGCCTTGGGATCTTCAAGTAGCTTTTCATGCTCGAGATAATCAATAATATCATTTCTCCAGTCCCAGAACAAATTGGTTGCGTTTACTTCATAATAGCCGTCTACGTCCAATACTGAATACATAAGCTGCACGATCGTACCAGAGTCCAATCCTTTCATTTTCTTGGACGATCCCAGATTGGCTAGTGTGTCTGCTTCCGTATTTTCTTCTCTCGGGATGTGGGTAATTGACCATTCCCTGAACAGTGTGAGAAGATCCTGGACTTTTACTACATATTGTTGTATTGCGTTCCTCTTTGGCTTCGAAGATCCCGTAGACCTGATTTACTACCAATTGGGAATCACATTTGATTTCTATGACCTCGGAGTCCAGTCCCCGGGCCAGCTCGAGTCTTGCAATCAAAGCTTCATAATCGGCTTCATTGTTAGTCAGAGGAACAGTTCTTATGGCCTGCCTTAGGGTTTCTCCCGAAGGCGTGATTAGCACTACGCCGAGCTCGGACCCTTTCACATTGGAAGCCCCGTCCGTGAACAAGATCCAAACTCCCGACGTCGATTCCGACACCATCACTACTTCTTTGATAGCCAAAGGTAGCAGTCCCGGACTTAAATAGGTCACAAAGTCGGCAAAAACTTGTGACTTAATCGCAGTTCTAAGTTTATACTCTATCTCAAATTCACTCATTTCGACTGCCCACTTGGCCAGTCGACCTGAAATTTCAGGTTTGTGAAGGATATTCCATAGGGGAAAGGTTGTCACCATGGCTATTGGATGACATTGGAAATAAGGCCTAAGCTTCTGAGAGGCGACCGCGAGAGCTAAGGCCAATTTTTCTAGATGTGGGTAGCGAGTTTCCGCTCCCGTTAAAATTTTACTAACATAATAAATAGGAGATTGCGTACCTTCGTCTTCACGGACTAAAACGGTACTTACTGCTACCTCTGAGACCACTAAGTAAATCAACAATTGTTCGCCTTCCTTCAGTTTCTATAATAATTGAGGGCTCAACAAATACCTTTTCAAATCCTTCATAGCCTACTGGCATTTCAGAGTCCATTCAAAGTTGTTCTTCTTTTTGAGAAGCGAAAAGAAGTGATGACATTTGTTCGAAGACCGGGAAGTGAATTTGTTTAAAGCGGACAGTCTTCCTGTCAATCTTTGAACCTCTTTCATGTTTGATAGTTGGTCAGGAATGTCTTTGATGGCCTTAATTTTATCGGGATTGACTTTGATCCCCCTTTGTGACACCAGGAACACTAAGAACTTACCAGAGATGACTCTGAATGCACACTTTTCGGGGTTAAGTTTCATGTTGTGCTTCCTTCGGATGTCAAAGGTTTCTTGCAGGTGTTTAATATGATCACTTGTGTTCAAGGAGTTATACAATATATCATCCATGTAAACTTCCATGATTTTCCCCATTTGTTTCTCAAACATTTTGTTTACAAGCATCTGATAAGTGGATGCGGCGTTCTTTAGCCCGAAAGGCATCACATTATAGCAATATGTGTCGGAGTTTGTTATGAACAAATATTTTTCTTGATCCTCTAGGTTCATCTTGATTTGGTTGAACCCATAGTAAGCATCGAGGAAACTCATTAACTCGTGCCCGGCCGTCGCATTAATCATTTGATCAATGTTTGGCAATGGGAACGACTCTTTAGGGCATGCCTTATATAGATCCTTATAATCTACACACATGTGAAATTTATTCTTCTTCTTGGGAACTACTACTACGTTAGCTAGACAGTGAGGATACTTTACCTCCAGTATTGAACCGATATCAAGCAAACGAGTTACCTCTTATTTGACAAATTTATTTCTGACCTCGGCAATAAGGCATTATTTCTTCTGCACTGTAGGGATGTTAGGATCCAAACTTAACTTTGCACTACCACTTCTGGTGGTATACCTATCATATCTGCATGCGACCACGCAAAATAGTCAACGTTAAATTTAAGAAATTCTATGAATCCTGACCTGAGCTCGGGGTTTAGTCATGCCCCCAAGTCGAACTTCATTTCCAAGAACTTTTCGAACAATGCGACTTGCTCGAGTTCTTCCGCTGTAGACTTTGTTGTGTCTATTTCTTCTGGTACATGAAATATCTTGGTACCTAATAAGGGTCCGATGACTCCTCCCCCGTGTTGTCTTCTTTTGATTCAGGTGTAGGCGTCGGTTCCAGTAATTGCTATACCGTATGTTCTTTCCCTTTGCTACTAGAAACTGAGACCGTGTTCATCTCCCTTGCCGCCGGTTGGTCTCCTCATATTTGTTTAATTCCCTCCGGAGTTGGGAATTTCAGTAGTTGATGATATGTTGACGGCACAACCTTTATCTCGTGTAGCCATGGTCTCCTAAGGATAATATTGTAGCCGATATCGCCGTGTACTACTTCAAAAAGGGTCGTCTTCATTATCCCTTCGGCATTCGTAGGCAACAGAATCTCTTCTCGGGTTGTCACGCTTGCTAAATTGAACCCGGCGAGGAGCTTTGTGGCCGGAATGATACTTTCGGTCAGCTTGGCTTGCTTCAGCACTCTCTATTGAATAATATTGGCTGAACTTCTTAGGTCCACTAAAACACGTTTAATTTCAAAATCTAAAACATTAAGAGAGACTACCAGGGCATCGTTGTACGGTAGTAAGAGTCTATCTACGTCCTCCTCTGTGAAGGTGATGTCATCCTCAATGACTTCCCAGAGTCTCTTGCTATGGGTCACCGATACCTTCAATTTGTTTGTTGCCGAGAAAGTTACACCATTAATCTTGTTACCCTCGAAAATCATGTTGATCGTCAAACGAGGGGGATCTCCTCCCGCTTTTGAGGGTTCCGCGTTATCCCGATTGTGGTCGTATTTGTTCTTAGCCCAGTCGCTTAAGAATTCTATGAGATGGACATTTTTCAGCAATGTCGCCACCTCGTCGCGTAAATACCGGTAGTCCCCAGTCCGGTGGCCGTTGGTCCCATGGTACTCGTACCATAAATTAGGATCCCTCTAACGTTGAAGTTGTTTCGGATAGCCTGGGGAAGGAGGAGTCTCGGGAGCCCGATATCTCCTGGTCCGACAATGATCTGTTATTCCGACCGCGATTAGCTCTCCTATCAGTAGTGAATTTATCAGCTGACCGAAAACCTCTGCCGCTTCCTTCGGCCCTTTCATAAAGCAAAAATCGACCTCTAGAAGACCGTCGCTCTGTGTCGAAATCATTCTTTGATTTCTCCTTATTCTTCTCCCGGTCCCAACCCTTGGTTGATGCCGGGAAACCGAGCTGGTCATCCTCAATTCTTATCTTTAATTCATACCGGTTATTGTACTGTTGTTGGGTTAGTCTGTACTGCTGATTTTGAGGTCCCCATTGCTGTCCACTTGCCTCTGACCCCCAAAATTATTGACGTAATTCATGTCTTCTCTGAAGCCGTTGTTATCATTCTCTCCACTCTACAAGCAAACATATGACTGATTTATGCAGGGAGTGCATGGACTCCATTTGTTGTGTCAACAATATGAACCTGTTTCGTGCCCATCTCATCAATTTTCTTTGTCAACAAGCTCATCCGGGTCATGAGAGTGGCTATGTTTTCTGCATTTGTATTGTTTGGGTCAAGAGCAACAAAATACACTATTGGAGTGAGTGTTATATCCCTCGCCATTCAGCCTGAATTTTGAACCATATTGTCAAGAAGAATCTTACACTCTGTGAATGATTTACTCAAGAATGCACCCCCGGTTGAAGCGTCTACATTGGCCTTCAGACTGTCAGCCAAACCCATATAGAATCTCTGTCCTAGCATCTGATCCGGGATGCCATGGTGTGGATACTTCACCAACATGCCCTTAAACCTCTCCCAGGTTTCCTACAAAGTTTCAGTTGGTTCCTGCCTGAACTGCAATATCTCATCAATTTGCCTTGCAGTCTTGTTGGGTGGATAGAACTTGTTTAAGAATTGCTTGACTAGTTCTTCCCAAGTAGCAATGGAGTTTATTGGAGCGAATTTAGCCAAGTTTGAGCCTCTCTAGTCACTAAGAATGGAAACAGTAACAATCTGATTGCTTCGGGTGTCACATTCGGCTGTCTTTGAGTGACACAAATTGATAAAAAATTCTTCAGATGTTATTGAGGGTCTTCGATGTACGACCCAGAGAACAACCTTTTATTCTGCAGCAAGTGCAACATGTTGTTGGTAATTTGAAACGTCTCTGCATGTATCGGAGGGACTGTAATTGCAGTTTCCAGATTATCAGCAGTTGGTTGCGCCCAATCATATAGAGCAGCTTCTGGCATAAGAGGTGTTACCACTCCGATGTTTGGGTCAACTTGATTATTTCTATTGTTCCCATTGACGTTCTCGACGTCACCCATTTCGATTTTGATTTGTTCATTCTGTTTTAGCTATTTGCTCTTCTTGTTAGCCCAATTTAGTGTACGGAATGCTTTCTCAGGATCTAAGAAACCTTCAAATAGTTCACCAGTTCTCAAGGAGCATCTAGGCATGCACCTGAGGCACAAAAGAATTCAAACGTGAGAATTTCAATGGAAATATTTTTAGTACCACGAAAAATTGATCTAAACTAAAAATCCTAGCAGTTCTTTCAAGTTGTAACGAATAACACCGTTAGTTCTTCGGCAACGGCGCCAAAATTTGATCACCGCCAACTATACCTTATAGAAAGGACTAAGCGGTCGCTGCAAAAATAATCCGGTTCAAGAGTTCGGAGTCGAATCCCACAGGGAACTAACCTATTTGCTACAACTTTTCAGTTCAATAATGATAAGCTCAGACAACTTTCAGAGTTCAAGAATTGATTTGTGAATTAAAAAATTATTTAACTAAGTAAAAATGACAATAAAAACTATCAATTAGGAAGTATGAGGTTGAATCACGGATAAAAGGATTTAGGATTTACGATTTCCCTAATTGTCGAATTAAGTCCTGGCACGTTAGCTATAATCTACCTGTAACACTCTCTAAAGATGATGAGTTCTTGTTTACCGCAATTATCTCTCGATCAATTACGATAATTTACTATAAGTATTCTCTCGAACTACTCTAGTTGACAATTTGCACAACTCATAAATATCGCCCAAAGTTTCGTTATCTCTAATCCCGCTTTTCAATTCAAGTAAAAAATTTTATAACTTACTCAAGAGTGGCGTTGTTCAACAACAATCTAATCAAGTATTCTTCTCAAGCAACACAAGATAACTAGACACGATTAATCAAGGGCCCTTCAATTAATCACAAGAAATATATAGTTGAACAATTAAAGAGTAAGAACGACTCAATTATATCAAAACGCAATCAAGACTTCATCTAACAATTGGTTCCATCAACCCTAGATGATGGGTTTAGCTACTCATAACTGTTTAAATAATCATAGTAATATCTAAATGCATTAAACTACAAATTAAAGGAAAGCAGAGCGAAAAACTCGAGTGATTCGTGCTTCCGAAGTATTCTGTAGCCTCTTGCCTCTTTAATGATGTCTAAACCTTCAAAAACTAACTTTTAGGGGTACTTATAGGGTAAGGGCCGGATTTACATGTCCAATAATAATGAGGACTTATAAACATTTTTTCGGATAGCATTGTTGGCACCTTGCACTGCCTGTAACACTGTCTGTAGCACTGTCTTTTCGGCGCAAGGCACTGTCTATAGCACTGATGACAGTACCCTGGACAATGCCTTGCACTGTCTATGTCTATGGCACTGTTGTTACTGTGCAAGGCACTGTATGTGGCACAGACTTTTCGTTGCCTTGCATGCCTTCTTTTATTGCTCCATTTTGTAGCTCTGAGGTACCATTTCATGCAACTTTTCTCCAATTCATGTCCAAGCATTGCTACACATGAAATAAGCTCTATTAAGCGCAATCGTCGCACAAATTATCATCCAAACAAAAATCAAGTAGGGTAAATAATGTCAAAATATATGGAATTATCTCACGACATCAACAACTTGCATAGATGCAGGTCAATTCAACTATTCTCTATATATTACTCTCAATTTATATGACGTACTTTGATTTGACATGATATTTAAGAGTAAAAGATAGAGACTTTTGAAACTCATGATCTTAAACATGTCATAATATTTGTATGGTTAGTACACATTTACTGTTTGTGGATNATATATATATATATATATGACCAAGTCAATTATAAATATAATTACAAAGTAAATTTCTATGATAAAGCCTTGCTTGATAATCTGATAAAAATAATAACTGACTTGCACTATCACATTTTAAACCACACTCATAGTGTAAAGAATATTTGCATTATCAGTATATATAGTTAAATTAAATTCTTACAAAATATGCCACGCTCTGTCGCTCTCCCTAGATATTGAATATATTTGCTGCTTATACGGCCACCAACATCATAAAGAAAAAACAGCAAATATGACTTAAAAGCAACAAATAAATGTAAAGCGTTGTTAATATCGTTTGATTACATTAAGCAGTTAATAATCACGCTGAAAATATTATACGTAGGGGCCAGTAGCCATAATGAAGGATGATTAAATGACCAATCATTAAAGGCCAAACCATCATTTTTCCATCTTGTTATTACAAATCTTTAAACGTGACATATGTGCTGTTCACCGTTAATAATTTCCATGATTTTGATTTGCATTTTATTGTGATTGTCTAAATCAGGATTGTGACTTCACATTTTATTATGATAGTCTAAATCATGAAAAATAAAGACATCATTGGAGACCATATACTATAAATGCCGAAATGGTATCCAGTAAAAATAAGAAAGAGAAATGTTTTTTTTTTTTTTGGATCTCTTACAAAACATATGCACAATTTTCAAATACAATTGGAGAACATAATGTGTTTTGTTTGATTCACAATAATACTAAAAAATATCTAGAAATAAATTAGTGGGGTGGGGGAGAAAGCAAATATTTTGCTAATGTTGTGTTAGCAAAGAAAAATGATTCCAATTTTCTTTCGTTAAGAATTTAACGCATGTATTAAGGCGTGAAATTCAAGAAAATTAGCTGACAAGTTTGGGAGAAGGGAGGATAAGTGAAGTAATGTGAGAATTTTTAAAAGGTAATTAAAAGTTTGGTCGGATTTTAAGATGGAAATTTGACCATAATTTGCCCTCTCTCCCGACCATATGTTTTATCCAGCAGACAAACAGAACACCTTTTGCTAATCCAAAACAAAATGTACAAACAGTAAATCATAGAGTAGACTCTCTACAATTTTTTATTTTTTTTTTAATTTGGTCAAAACCATTATCATTCTTTTTAGCAAACTCACCTTATTCTAATGCTTTAATTTTTTCGTCTCAAATTAACAGTAACTTTAACTCAAAACAATTATCCTAAAATAATTGTCACTTTAGAAACTCAAGACTAACTTTATTGGAGTAGTTATTTTCACCTTTATCCTTAATATTAAGAAGAATACACAATATTTAAGAGGAAAAAATTAATCTACTTTTATTAAATAGGGGTAGTTTAGTAAATGATATTTTTTATTTATTATTTTCTTATTAAGTACGGGAAAAACTAAAACAACAGTTAAAAAGAGATGGATGGAGTAAATGATAAGTATATACGTTCAACTTTCCAAATGTTTTTCATGCTTGAGGAGTAAATTGCGTGTGAATATTTTTCTTAAATCATCACGCTTACTTACTTACTGTCGGATAATGTAGTAACTTTTCGAGGGGTAGAAAGTACAATAACCATAACTCATGTATGTGGTCCAAAACAGTTTGGGCAAAATTTGGGTTGGGTTTTAATGAAGAAACGAGAAAATGTGGGGGGGTTATAAAGAATTGGGATGGTGGTCCACACAAAGCATGGAGTTGGCTGATTGATTTTTTGAAGAAGGGTTCTTTACTACTCTTGCAGAAGTATCTTTAGAGTATAGGTCAGGTTTGTCATGCTTTTGGGATCCTTGCAATTATTGAACTCATGCACACTTTAATGATAAGAATGACAAGCTCCCATTTAAATAACATATACTCCATCCGTTTCAATTTACATGAACATGTTTGATTTGTCATAAAATTTAAGGAAAAAATAAAATTTTTTAAAATTTGTGGTCCTAAATAAGTAAAAAAAGGTCTAGAATATTTGTGTGGTTATAAAAGCTTTTCATTAAGGGATGAATTGGAAGTGTAAGCTAAATTATTTCTAAATTTAAAAAAGGGTCATTATTTTTGGAACGGACCAACAAGAAAATAAGTTCACATAAACCGGAACGGATGGAGTATATATGTATGAGTTTGAGTTGTATGCACCAATAATATTAAAAATATTTATATAATTAGATGACTTATCGTAACTATAAATTAAAAAATAATAATAATTTGAAATCAATTAATAAAGATGATAACTAACCTTACTAATAGTTAAAATCCATCAATAATTTGAAAATTCTTTATATTATCTAAATCTTTTTTTTTGGTAATTAACTTTCTTTTGTATTAATCACCAAAGATGGAACTGTACAAATCCATAGTCAAGCTAACTCAGCTGACTATCTCAAAGTGTAAAAACAAACATAGCATACCTATTTACATATAGCACTAATGTATCTATTATGTTCCTATAGAAGATTGTTGTATATAACTCTTAACTCGAGTAGCTACTCTAACGTTGCAAATATATGCTATCTCTCTTGCAAGAACATCACTACTTCAATACTTTTGCTCAAATGTACGTGTGTTTCTTTCAATCTATATTGCATATGAGGTCTCAGCATATATCATTCTGAATATGCTAGCCTTATTGGACTTCCCTTTCCCTTGCTTGATGATCCACTGGAGGTGTTGGTCCCAGCAAGTGATGATCATTGGTACACTTTGAATCCACTTCATGACTTCCTTCCACAATTCTATAGCATATGGACATTACACAAAGAGGTGCTCCCTTGATTCAACCTGACCTTGACACATAACACCATGAGGGGTGACATTTAAGCCCCAGTTGAATAGCCTATCTTTAGTAGGTAGTCTTCCATGGAGTAACAACCACATAGTGAAGACTACCTTTGGTCTTGCAGAATTTTGAAAGACTAGACATTTCCAGCTCACTCTTGGTAATTCTCCTAACAGTTGTAGGTATATTTATCTGATAATGCTTTTGTTGTGATCACTTAAGTTCTGTGCCTGCAACATGGTAACTCTTGATCCAATTATTCTTCTCACCATCCAACTTGCTTGATATGGGATTGGCATATGCTGTAGCTGCTGCTGTTTGATGTAGTAAGCATTGATCCACCTTATCCATAATTTTTCTTGTTTGTGAGCTAAGTCCCAGCATATTTTAGCAATTGCTGCTTTGTTCCACAGAAGAAGGTTTATGAGATTATGTCCACCAGCTGACTTAGGGGTACATATCTTTTCCCATGCTACTAATGCCTTCCTGGTTATTGTGTTAGTTCCAGACCAGATGTAGCTTCTGCAGAGTGCCTCTATCATTTTCAATACCTTAGCAGGCAAGATGAACAATTGAGCCCAGTAAGCTTGAATGCCAAAAATAACAGATTGAACCAACTGCACACGACCACCATAATATAGCTTTTTAGCAGTCCATGAAGAGATCTTGGCTGTAATCTTTTCAATCAAAGTCTGCCATTGTATGAGAGCTATTTTCTTTATAGATAGAGGAATGCCTAGGTATTTGAAGGGCAGTGATCCTTGTTCAAATCCCAGGTGAGCCAAAATCTGCTCCTTCACATCTTGTTTCACCCTACCAAAATACACTGAACTTTTACCCAAATTAGCCTACAAACCTGATGCTTCAGAGAAGTGAGAGAAGCATTTGTATAATGTAACCACTGGGGATAGATTACCTTTGGAAAACAACAAGAGATCATCAGCAAAACTCATATGAGTTATGTCCAATTTCCTACACCTGGGTGATACTAGAATGTAGGCTCCTTCTTAAGCTCATGCAAGGATCTGCTCAAGTACTCCATCACTATTGCAAACAGAGAGATAAGATCTCCTTATCGAAGGCCCTTGGCAGCATTGAAAGGTTATGTGGTTTCTCCATTCACAAGGATAGTATAGTTGACTGTCTTGATGCATTCCATTATCCATTTGATAAACATGTCAGGGAAACCAATCTCCTCCATCACCTGTTATAAGAAGATCCATTCTACTGAGTCATAAGCTTTTTGGAAATCAATCTTTATCATACACCTAGGTGATATCTGAGCCCTAGTATAGGATTTAACTAGTTCATGAGCTAGGATGATATTGTCAGCAAACTTTCTACCAGGAATGAAACCTGCTTGAGCTTTACCGATGATGAATGACATGACTTTCTGCAATCTAGAAGCCAAGATCTTAGAGATCATCTTGTATAGGATTTAATAGCAGGCTATTGGTCTATATTCTTTGACTGTGGTAGGCTTAGTCACTTTAGGAACTAATGTAACAATAGTGCAATTTTGTTTCCTTATAGATATTTCCAGTTGAGAAGAATTCCTTTATAGCATCTGTGATCTGATTGTTGATAATGTCCCATGCTCTTTTGAAGAAAACTGCATTAAAACCATCAATACCTGGAGCTTTATCATCACCAATTGCTTTAATACTTTCAACAATATCTTGGTTAGTTACCTCTGTGCAGAGATAAACTCTTTGCTGATGAGACAGTGTAGGACCATTCTTCATGTATGATCTGTTGATAGCAGGCAAAGAATTGGCAGCTGATCACATTAGTCTTTTATAGAAATCCACAATCTCTCTTTTGATGACTTCAGGGTCAGTCAACTTGTCTCCTAGTAGAGTTGTGATTTCTGTAATCTGCTTACTTTGAGTTCTATCCTTCATTACTGCTGTGAAGTACTTAGAATTGGAATCTTTAAGTTGTATCCATCTTGCTCTAGCTTTCTGTTGCAGGACACTCTCTTCAATTAAGGACCACTTCTCAAGATTGAGTAGTGTTTTCTTCTCCATATCTAATAAATCATCATTGCAATTCAGTGAAATCTGCTCTTGGATAACCCTCAAATCTATTCTAGCCTTCTCAATTTTTTGAGTGATGCCCCTGAATTTCCTAGAGTTTAAAGCTTTCAAAGCAAGTTTCAGGTCTTTCAATCTTGTCCAAACTGATTTCAAAGTACCCTGTGTACTATGAGAATTCCACATGCTAGCCACTATTTGAGAAAAATCTTCATATGTTGCCATATGTTAAAAAATCTAAAAGGCACTCTACCAGTCCATATTGAAGATGACAGTGTTAATAGCATAAAAGCATGGTCTGAAATTTGAGGCAAATCATAATTTGTTTCCACATGACCCCAAGACATCATCCATTCATAACTGCCAAAAACTCTGTCCAATCTACTGCTGACTCTATCTACTCCGGGCTGCTTATTAGACCATGTATAATAGTCACCCTTCCAAGGTAGTTCTGTCAGTGTTGTATGTTGGAGGCAGGCAGCAAAGTCTTGAATTTCTGAGTAGCATACTGGATTACAAGATAGTCTATCACTGGGGTATAGTACTGCATTGAAATCTTCAGCTATTAACCATGGTATTTCTATACTCAGTGATAGTAGTTGTAACTTATCCCAGAGAGCTCTTCTTTGTTCCAGCCCATTGTATCCATACACTACAGTGAGTAAACAATCTATATCACATCTTCTACTTTTTACCAGACAGTGAATCATTTGAGCATCATCTTTAATACCAGTAATAATGAAGTGACTAGTATCCAATAGTAACCAAATCCTTCCATTCCTAGTATCCTTATAGTTTGTCAGTATACTCCATCCAGGAACAATAGCTTTTGAGATCCTTTGAGCATTCCCTTCCTTCACTTTAGTTTTTACAAGACCTATTAGCTTGATTCTATTTCCCCTAATATACTCTCTAACCTCCTTCTATTTATACCTTTTATTTATACCCCTTATCTTCCAGAACAACCAATTCATCATTGTTGAATAATAGTTCCACCTCTATCCCCAGGTGGAATGTGCTCCTCATGTCTACTTGTTGATACAACTTCAAACCTATTCCTCGCTGGGATGGGAGTCAAAGGTGGGAAGTTGATGAGATTAAGCTCAGGGCTTTGCACTGCTTTACCTTTGTCATCCTGCCCCTCAGCTACAGGTACCATGTTGTGGTGATTATTAATCTCCTTAGGATCACCTTAGGATCAGGTGCCTTTATTGTTCCTCTTTGATCTACAACTTTCACTTTGTTGCCAATTTGCTGTTGATCCTCAGATGAGATTACATTCTGAGGACCAGGTGCATTATGTATAGGTCCTTTGGTTCTCCATTCCTGTATGACCACCTTGTTACTCCTTATTTATTTTTTTAGTCTGGATGGGCTGTTGCATCATAGGTCGTGGCTGGTTGGAACACTTGTGTCCCACAACCAAGCATTTGTCATAATAAGTAGGTTTCCAGTCATAGGTAACAACTTGCAGAAACTTCTTTCCAGTAGGATCCATAGCCATAATTTCAATTGGCAATTTTGTTGTAACATTAACTTCAATAAGCATTCGAGCAAAGGATACTCGAGTCTGCTTAGTAGTGCACTCATCAGCAAATACAGTGGTCCCAATTACACTAGCAATTCTGCTGAGAGAGCCAACTCCCAAACATGACATAGGCAACTTAGGAAATTTGACCCACAATGGTATGACAGTGGGAAATTCTTCCGTGAAATCAAAGTCGGGAGTCCATGGTTTTAGGATGATAGGCTTATTAGCAATTGAGTAAGGACCAACACATAGTATTTCTCGAGCATCTGCAATAGTTTGAAATCACATGCGACCAGTGCAAATTGATGTACCGTTTCATCGCATTATACCCTGGTCCATCCCCTAAGATATAAGCAATCAACGCACACCTCAATTTGTTTTCTTTCTCTTCTACCTCTGATTTTTCTAATTGAACCATAGGCTGGCCATCAACAATTTATGGTGGAATATAGGATCGTGACATACCATTAGTAGCAAATCGATTCTTCTGGAACAAAGTTGTCCATGGAGCTTTAGGTGCAGCTTTATTTACTATCACTACCTCTTCTACTACTGATTTCTCTGACGAGCCTAGAGTGTTTACTTGATTTTGAGCTGGATTTACCAGTTTTACTGTTTCATTAACTGGTACTGTTGAAGAGGCTGCTAAATGACCAATTGTCATTGGATAAGTTAGATCTAGTCTCTTAGAAATGTCAGGATGAGTCGAAGTAGAACCAATTCACATGCAACACCTCCATTTGCTGGATCTGCAATTGGAACTGATGGAGGTGGGGTTGCTTTCTCCATCGGTGGTTGATTTTCAGTTACCATCGAGCTTACAAGAGTAGTTAACAGATGTTTTCTAGGTCGACCACGCCCTATGCCTCTCCCTTTCGCCATGGCTAACACAAGCGGTGTACATTAACTAACGTGCGCCGAGAGCATGAGGAAGGAGAGAATCTAAAAGGGTGGTGCTTGCATTTATGTTTATATTATCTACATCCTAAATGTGTAGATACTGATGGAATTATTGGAAAGGAATTAGTGAGGGTATAAAATCATAAATATATATTACATGGAAAAGCTACCCCCATTGCCCCTTTCTCCTACCAATAAAAAAAAAAGGGAATTTGAAAATAAAAAATCTTACGGTCTCTTAAATGGTTAAACACAACATCTTGATAACGATAAGGGTTGAGGATTAATACATAATTGTCTCTAGTATTGGTTTGGGCAAAGCCTTGTGCCTATTGCTTAGATGTTATTTACCCGAAAAATCAGATAGAGTTAAATTTGTACGTAGTTCTAAGGGTATGTGGTATAGCTTGATACAAATCGTAAAGAGAATAGAAATATCCAATCTTGACTATAAGAACAAAAGAAAAAAATTGTTGAAAAGAGAAAATAAATGGGCCATATAAGATGAAGTAAGAGAGCTCAAAGGATTGATCTTTCAATATAAGGAATAATCTTTTGTTCCAATATCTGAATATTGCCTCACGGAAACAACAATCATCCCTTTTTTAGTGGAGAGATCCTACTTTAGATATAATAAAAAATAAATAGTGGGGAACCCATGAGGAACTAACTTTTTCCTAATTCCTATGAGGATTCTCTCTCCTAGTGTGGTTGCAACGGCTCTTGTCTGTGAGCTCGATATTGACCCGAGCTCGATTCTGACTCGGAGTCTGGTATTGATTCAGGGTCGGTGTCGGTCGGTCTATGCATCTTAGGCTCGATCATTTCGCCTCGCTCCGTAGTTCGATTTGGATACGAGCTCGATAATGATACCGAGCTTGTCATTGATTGGTCCTAGAACTCGAAACTTGATGACCTGGTTTCGGACCTCGACCTGGTATTACGAAGCTGCCTTTCGATCAAAGTATTATCATACCGACCAGTCCGTAGGACGGACTAATCAGTTTTGACCGTATACAGATGTATACGTCGAGTCGAACTAACTCACTGAGTTGAATTTAGTTTAAATTCGATATAAAATTATTGAGTTAAAGATAATTATAGCTCGAACTGAGTTAACTCAATAAAAGTTCAGTATTGCATATAATGAACTTCATTGCAAGTGTTGATGTAAAGTTATAAGTATATACGTCTTCATTTGAACATAATAGGTTTGGCTTAAATTCGAAATATATGTTAAAAATTTACTATTAAGTATATAATTGATTCCGTAACCAGTAAATCAAATAAATCATGATAGAATCCTAAAATTGAACCCATAAAATTTAAATATTACATCAGTTTTTATTATATTGTTAGATTAGAAACAATTCGGCCAAACTTATAAGGTAGCTGAATATATATATATATAGCTCAAGAATCAGAATTTTTCGGCCGGAATTTAAGAAAAAGTGCAATAGTTAGCTCATAAAAGTTATAAATGATTTTCACGAGAGGCCTTTTGCCCCCTACAAGAGGGCAAAAACTAGGGAGGCGCCTTCATCCCATATCGCTATGTCTTATTAATTCTATCAAATCAATTGCTACTTCATTAGCTTAAAGAAAAGAATAAACAAAAGAGAGGATAGATAAGGACCTAGGGGCAAAAAGGGTTATATTTTTAATATGTATGTAATGCTAACAAGTAGTGTTACATATTAAAAACTTCATACCTAATATTTTAGGTATAAATAGCAATTTAGAATTAATCATTATCTAAGATCATATATCAAGTTTGTAATTTTATCTTGAAATTTAGAATAATGATGGTATATATATATATATATATATATAGCTGATGTTAAAACATAATCAAACTGTACAGGAAAGGGAGGGTTGGAAAGAAGTTTTGAATATTTACGGTCAAACTTTTCTATGACAGTTTCGTTTGTTCTGATATTTTTTGGCTGCTATAGTAAA